TTCCATAAAGTATGGTAGAATTCACCAGTGAAGTCAGCTAATCCTGGAGTGTTTTTCCCTAGGAAGTTTCTTAATTATCAATTTATTTTTAATTAAACACTCCCTGGACAAGATGATCACTAAGAAACATTCCTCTTGAATATCCCAGAATGCTACACAATGACCAAGTGCAAAAACTACTCCTTAATTTTCAAATATACAATGTTTGATAAGCAAGGAAGTTTAGAATATTCACAAAGGCCATGGATTACCCAAAATTATGAAAAATACCATAACATGTTCGTTTGTGTCCTAAATTTAACATTTGTGAGAGTTAGTGAGTTAGATACTATGTGCATATGCTGGAAAAAACCTTTCCCTAATGTGTCTGGTGCCTATAAAACTGGTCTCAAACATCTGGAAAGACTGGATTTACAAAATAAAGATGGAATAAAAGTAAGTCCACAATTAAATAACATGTTCGGCAATTGGGTAATCGGTTCAGAAACTCGAATTTCCCTGATGTATTGTTGAACAAACTGCCTAGAGCACATTTTCACATCTACTTTCTCAATGTTTTCCACAACTGAGAAACTCATATGGTCTCTTTTTTTCCCTGCCTCCTGGGGATAGAAACTTGGCAACTGTACTTGGGGTATTTTAATCAGGTAAGTTTTCTGGCTCTTCCTGTTAATCACATCGGACAGCACGGTGCAGTTTTTGCCTGCAATATGAAAAAGAGTGTTATACTCAAGATCAAGTTAGTCCTTTCCCCTGTCATCTCTCCACTGAATGTGAGATTCTTTGGTAAGAAATGTGCTGAGCCCCAGAACTAGCAAACAGAGACACATCATTTCCTTCACTAATAAAACAGGCGAGGCTAAGTCAGGTCACTGCCACCATCTTTCAGGACACAAACAAGCATGGCTGGGTTTATTCAGCAGGGAGAAGCCAAGAGGGGAAGGTTCTCATAAACCCAGCAGGCTTCCCCAGATCTCTAATGCTGCAGACTTTTGAGACAGCATCTGGAGTCTCATATCAAAATAGCTGGCTGGGGAATTTGAGTATTTCAGGTTTGACTCTATCTGCACAGTGCCTGTGGAGAGGATGGAAGTTAAAAAACACCAGCTTTCTTCTTTACCTTTGCCTCCTGTCATGGACACTACCTGACTACTCCTGAACGGTCCTCTTTCTTATTCAAAAATCCTAGCAATAAAATACAGAGAAATGGAAGCAAACGCTAACTTATAAATGGACAACAATCCAAATTCAAACAAGCAGCCAGTACCCAAGGCAATAACAGAGGGCACTGCTGGGATGAGAAGAATAGTCTTTTCCTTAAGCTATCACAGTTCTCTCTGTCTTCTTTCCTGTCTCTCTCTTTTTGCCTCATAAAGGGAAATTTAAATCTTGTATAGATTTAAAAAATATATATTTCTATTTAAGATTAAAAAAATTATTTCTATTTTCACATGAGACAACACCTAAAGACTCTAACAGAGTATTTTGGAAATGTTACACAGTTGCAAGAAGGAAGGGAAAGAGTTGCCATCAGATAGATAGACACGGGTTCAAATCCTGTTTCTACCACTTCAAGTTCTATGATGTTAGTCAACTTACTTAAACTCTTTGAGCCTCAGTTTCCTCACTTGTAAAAATGCAGGTTATAATAATAACGAAAGGGAATTACTGCAAGGATTCAGTAATATATGTAAAACAAGCATAGAGATGGTATACAGTACTTCCTCAATATATAGTAGATATTTTTATTATTCAATTATCTCCATTCTCTTACTTAAACCACTTGACTATATATTAATCAATGGACCATCAAACAAATGTGTATTGGTCACTTACTACATACCTAGAACTTAAACATCAGCAAAGAATTAAGTATTTCTAATTCAGAAGCCTTAATAGTGCTAACATTTATTGAGCATTTTCTATATACCCAGCACTCTCTGGACATTGATTTACTTGCATTATTTCATTTAATTCCTGAAGCATCTCTTTGTGGTAGATGCTAGATACTATTAACTGCAATGCTTAAATAACGGTTATATGATGGTCATTCAGAAATCTCAATACTATAAAGCTAAGAGAATGAAAGCTTTATTTTATGATTTAGAACAACTTTTCAGAGTACTAATTATAATGTATGACAGAATACGGGGGATACTCTCAACTTTTCAAACTCATCTCACAGATCAAGGATGCTGAAAAGTTTGAATGATTTGTTCAAAACTATATAGCAAATACATTTTTAATTTTCCTCGCCAGCCATCAGATCTTGAGATCAGATTATCAGATTGTTCTTAAAGAAATTCTTTCTCCAAAAGAGATCTGAAGAAAATATAACAAAATATTAACACTGGTTGATTGTGGGGGTTGGGTACAAATAATATTTGTAGTTTTTTTTCTTCTGAGTTTTTCTGTACCATTAAATTTTTTAATTAAAAAAATTGCTTCACCTGCCCATGTAGTTTCATTTTCAAAGCAGATATATTATCAACTTTTATATATATCAGGTTTCCAAAAACTCTAGGCCTCAAATTTTTCTTTCTTTTTTTAATGACAGTAAGGCAAAACATAAAGTAATTCAGATTAAATTTCACATGGTCAAAGATGTATGCAATTCTCTAGAAGTCTTGGTAGTTCCTTCATAATCCAACTCTTCCCCCAATGAACTACATTCAGTAAATTTTAAAATAATGGGAGGTTTAAAAACAAAACCAAAAATTTTAAAAACAAGAAAAAAACAATAAGATCTCTCATGCCTCAACCTTAAAAAGGCCCCTTCATCAAAATACACATAAGCAATTCCACATGACTTGTTTCACCTCTTGACCAGAACAAAAATATGTGAAATACTTTTCTTTATGTCAGTTCTGTATACAAGAACAGCATACTGAGACAGATGCCTCTTTCCATGAAGATCCAAAGGGAAATGCACAATATTTTGAAGTTTACAACTGTTATTTAGAGCCAGTCAAACAAGATAAGTATAGGGCGTGCACTTTCTATTACAGCAGAACTTCCAAAAGTTAGGCAATGTTGAGAAGTGAAAGAGATGAGGACAGCAGTTCAGATAATGATTCAAAAAATGGTCAGGGGTCCAGGGTGAAAGAAGGAAGGAATGAGAGAGAGGGAAGCTCTTGTTTTGAAACACAGGGTAGCTAACAAATGCCAGTGTGTTAATACTGTTTCTGAATCTGGGTTTCTCGGTTTTGGTTTAAGATAACTGTAGTTATATGGCTATCATAAGAATTTTGGAAAATGAATTAATTGCATTTTCAATTTACGTTAACTTGGTAAAATTAAAATGAGTTGTAATTATTCCTCATTACTTTAGCTTTCAGAAACGGTTACGAGCTACTTCATTTGTCACCCACGAAAAGATTACTACTCCTGCCAAGCTCAGCATCAGGGAATGTCTTTAATGGGGCTGCTTTGATAAAACCTTGGCGCCACACATCCTTCAGATCCAAAATGGAGCTCTAAGTCTGGCCAAGTGTGGATTTAGTAGACCCCTCAAATGTGAAATGTAATCAAAGAGGTTTTCCCCCTTTCCCACCGTAGGCTTACGCTTCTTGGAACCACCACTTTCTTGGTCCCAGAAGAACTGTCATAGTTGGCCAAACTGTTTATGACCCCAAACAACCACAACTTATCAGCCTGTTGTTTTGGTTCCCACACTATGTTTCCATATTAACCCTGAAACTACTGGGCTGATTTTTTGAGACACTGATGCTAAGTTTGTATAGCAGTTCTAACCTGTCAAAACAGTTAAATTGCCAAATTGCTACTTCCTTCTAGTTCCATCTCTTAAGCTCAGGCTACCATCATCTCCTGCCTAGACCATTGCAGCAACCTCCACGGACCCGGCCTTACCTTCTCCAATATATTCTCCACACTATAGCACTGCTCTGCTTAAAACTTTGCTGACACTCCACTACCATTAAGTAAAGTCCAGCCACATATAAGGCCCTTCACCATCTGAACCCTCGCCCAGCATTCCCACCCATTCCTTCCTTACCAACTAAAGGCATCCCTGGCATCCTATTCTCTGGCTACATTGAACTCCTTGGAACCTCCTAAACACAACAAAGTTTTCCTTACATCCATGCCTCTATTATGCTGCTAGTCTGACTTATCCTTCAGGACTCCACCAAGAGGTCATTTCCCCTGGAAAAGCAACTCAATACCCACCTACCCCCACTCCCCACCCAACCAGGCCAGGTTATAAACCTGTCCTGTGCATCCCCACAAAACCCAGAGTTCCCTTCCATTACGCCCCACTGTCATTGCCCTACTTGTCATTTGCCCCCGTCAGATTTGAAGTGAAGTGAGGGAAAGGATAGTCTTATTTACAGTCATGCGTTGCTTAGTGACAGAGATACTTTCTGAGAAATACCTTGTTAGGCGATTTCGTTGTTGTGCAAACATCATAGAGCGTACTTACACAAACCTAGATGGTATAGCCTCCTACACACCTAAGCTATATGGTACTAATCTTATGGGACCACCATCGTATATGCAGTCTTTTATTGATGGAAATGTCATTACGTGGCGCATGACTGTATAAGTATCCCCAGAGCCTAGCACTAGTGCTCAACACATGCTTCTTAATAGGTGCTCACTAAATGCTTCTTGAATCAGTAAAGGTACCGGTTTTATGTAATTTTACAAATGAGAAATCTGAGGCAGAAAGCAATTAAGTGACTTACCTAAAAACACAGACTAGTTCAAAGAAGAACTGAGACTAAAGCCCAAGCCTCATGATTCCTGGCCCTGCAGAAGACAGGCCGCCATATCTCACTGGTTGGAACGGCAAAGACTGAACAATACAACGCAACAGAGGACTAGTATTGACAAGTGGGAGCAAATCTGAATGACAGTTTCCCCTATGACTGACATAGAATAAGTATTACATTTAGCGGGCCTTTAAGTAGCTACGTTCTCAGACAAATACCCAGCCTTTCCAGCAGCATAAGCCTGATTTCAAAGGCCATATACTATACCTCTTTCCTCTGTCACGTGTTGCAGTAACTTCTCAAGTTCAGGAAGTTTCAGCAACAAGATGCAATTTGGAAACATGTCATCCACCACAACTTGATCTAGGGGCTGAAACTTTCCCTGAAAAGAGACTTTAGTCAATCAGAAAGCAAGTATTCCAGTCAACAAACACACACATTAAAAAAAACAGAAAAAGATATATCACATCATGCCTGGTCCTTTAAACTTAGTTTAAAGCCACTTGTTTCACCCAAGCAATTCCTATACTGGGACAGGCTCCAGAACTGATTTCCTTTAGGAAGCTCTTGACAGCACTGGGGTTCCAACCAGCACGCCACCTACCTCAAGGGTATAGTCACTGGATGAAATAGGGGAGCAAAATTCTGGAAAGTGCCGGAGGCTAAGGAAACTTGCCAACATGGTAGAGATTGCCTAGGGCTGGTCCAATCCATTCCATTTGAGGAAGAACCAGCTGAGGTTACAGAGCAGGAGTCTTGACCATCACCCAGGAATAAGCCCAGATCAAGCCCAGAGCAAATATCTCCTCTCCTCATCCTTACTCCAGGACTGAACAGAGAAACACGACAACAAAAAAAAAACACCCAAGGTGAATTTACTCTCGTCAGAGCTGTCTGGCACTGCTTCCAAATGTAGAACATAATAAAAGAAAACGTAGCTAGAGGGATAAGTACAATGAAGCGGCAGACACATTAAATCAGGCTCGGCTAGACAAGTCTATAAGGCTTGGTGGCCAATGGGCCAGCGTGCAGAACATAAGAATTGCGAATATTCTTCTTCTCAATTAGGTTTAGTTTTTCTTAACTCTACCAGTAGCATGGAGGGGTGAAGTCTGTCTAAATCATTAGTCCCCTGACTTGGGGATACCAGACTTCATAAAACATATGGTTTTGTCCATGTCCTGCTTCTAGCCCACTCTACTTTTCTGTTTTAGTGACAACTTCATTTGAAGACAGAAAAACCATGTCTGATCAGTTTTCTTCCTGTGAATGCAGCTTTCTCTGGTTTTAAGGATGAAATCTTATCATTCATTCAGTAGCACCTGCGAAAGCTTGCCATACTTTCTGTTAGGTTAACAAGTGGCAAGAAATGCCTCAATTTAAATGTTCTCTTTTTCCATCATATAGTAAGAATAATTCACAGATCTCCCCAGTATTATTGTCTTTAGATTTCTACTTTATATTCTTCCATGATCAACAAATATTTAACTATTTTAAAACAATATTCTACTTATATATAATGGACTACCATGTAGTCATGACATAATAATCTCATAATTAACTGTTTCATTCTTGTTTTCTTCACCGTACATAAAAAGGAAATGCAATAAGCAACTAGCTTTGAATACCAAGTTAGTAACAGTTGGGGTAGCTAGAAAGAGGAATTATTTTTACTGATGTTAAAACAAATCTTATTAAAAAACAATAGCTCGGGCCAGCCCGGTGGCGCAGCGGTTAAGTGTGCACGCCCCGCCTCGGCGGCCTGGGGTTCGCAGGTTTGGATCCCAGGCGCACACTGACACACCGCTTCTCAAGCCATGCTGTGGCGGCGTCCCATGTAAAGTAGAGGAAAATGGGCACAGATGTTAGCCCAGGGCCAGTCTTCCTCAGCAAAAAGAGGAGGATTGGCATCAGATGTTAGCTCAGGGCTGATCTTCCTCACAAAAAATAAAAAATACAATAGGTAAACATTTCAAAAGTGTGTACCAATGTATTTTTTAACTAAATAGGAAAAGATCACATCTAAAATGTAGGGAAGGAAAAACCCAAACATCTCATGAGTGACTTTAAGGGGTATTTCTAGTATTTGAGAAGAGAAAGATGGTTTACAATGAAAGCCGACCTCCACCTTGAGCAGGATTTCTGCTTCATTCAGCATCTGTCAACCTGAATCATCCACAGGACTCCTAGAATGCCAGGATAGGGGTTAATCCACCAGAGTTAGGGTCTTAATGGGAAATAGGGAAACATTACCAAAAAATGGGGGGAGACCCTTTAAATGTTCATCAATGCAGATACTAAGACTGGTTGGTGGCTTTCTCTCTGTTAATGCATCCTAGAAAACAAATGGGAGCCAATTGAAGTTTTCAACTTCCTCCTTGAATACTGCCAGGGCCTTCCTGGTGGTGACTAGCACCAGTTCTGTTCATTAGAGACACACGGCTTACTAGCCTCACTGCTTGTATGCCCTAATTATACTGGCTACCATGGTAGCTTCCAGATAAGGGGAAATATGATTACACTAAGGAATAAAACTTCACTAATCCACATTAAAGCACAGAGGAATTAGGAAAGAAGGAAAATAAAAGAAGCTAAGCTGTATCTGGAGAAAGCATGAATTAACGTTTTAAGTCAGTTTTATTACTCTCAGTATTTATAGCAAATTAAATTGATATAGTCACAAATCGGCAGTTTTGGAAATTAGGTCTAAGATGAACCCAGAAGCACTTAAACTATATGCAAATATGAGAGTACAAAAAACCAAATTCTCCTAAGCAGTTTAAATAACACTTATTCCTTAAAGTTGTTAATTCAAAGGCTGTCAAACTGTGATTGGTGGATCCCTGGGAGTCCCCAGTACCCTTTCAGGAGGTCCACAAGCTCAAAATTGTTTTCATAATAACGCTAAGATGCAATTTGCGCTTTCACTGTGTTGACATTTGCACTGATGATTCAAATGCAAAAGTGGGTAAAACTGCGGGCTCCTTAGCATCAGTCAGGGTGATGGCCACAAACTGTCCTAGTAGCCACTGTGTTCTTCACTACCATGTACTAGCAGTTAAAACAAAAGCCAGCTTCACTTAAAGATGTCCTTGATCAAGGAGTAAAAGCAATTACTTTTATTTAAATCTTGACCCTTGAGTGCAAGTCTTTTAAATACTCTGTGTGATGAAAGTAAAGTGTTGCTAAAGCACTTCTGCTGCCTACCAAGGCACAGGGATTACCTCACGGAAAAGCACTGGTGTGACTGAGTTGTGAGTTGAACTAGCTGCTTTTTTCGTGGATACCATTTTTACTTGAAAAACCCACTATGAACTACGATTATTCAAACCCAGGTATTTTGCAGAACATAAATGAAGTGACTGTCACTTCAACGGAAAGATTGACAGTACTTGTAGCCAATGATCAAATTTGAACTTTCAAGCAAAAATTAGAATGGTAAAAAATTTGTATCTGTCACTATGACAGCTTCCTAATACTTAAAGAGTTTTCTGATGAGATCGGTGGTGATGGTAAGAAAGGTGAGTGTGTGTGTGTGCGCGCGCGCACGCGTGTGTATGTAATGAGATGTGTCAACATTTGGAAGATCTGCATAATTCAGTGAAACAATATTTTCCAAAGGACCAATGCATGATATTACAAAGTCATACATGAGTAAAAGACCCATTCTCAGTGCAAGATAGAGGAATAGATTTTAATGTAAGAGAACATGTAAAGTTCATTAACAAGGTTTCAGATTCCACATTGCAATTAATTTTTAAGAAACTACCCCTTGTTGATTTTTGAAGGAATATCAAAGAAAAACATCCACAATTGTCTGAAAAAGCTATTATCCTATTCCTCCCTTTTCTGACTACATATCTGTGTAAGGCTGCATATTCTTCATATACTTCCACCAAAACAATACATGGACAGACTCAATGCAGACCCAGACATCAGAATCCAGTTGTCTTCGATTAAGCTAGATAACAAAGAGATTTGCAAAAATGTCAAACAATGCCACACTCTTCAGTGAATTTTGTCGTTTGTTTAATTGAAAATGTGTTATTTATGTTAAGATGTACTGGGCTTATTATTTTTATTTTTAAATAAATTAATAAAATTATTTTTAAATTTCTCAGTTTTAATTTCTAATGTAGTAAATATTGATAGATAAAACCCACAGGGACAAAAAGCTCGTTGGGATCCTTAATAATTTTCAGGAGTGCAACCGTATCCTGAGACCAAAAAGTTTCAGAACCTCTGACTGAAACTATTGGTATTAATAAACTCTGTCTTTATAGTACAAAGGTAAATTTTATTCATCTGAGATTTCTTAGTCTTAACTAGAGCTTCCTCATTAATGAACTTTTACTAGATAAGCCCCAGTTCACCTATTTCACAGCATCTCACAAAGAAGAACATGAAAGAAAATAAGTCTTCTTTTCTTCTCTTAAGTCCTGAGATCAATTTCTTAACATTTGTATTGTACTTCAGAACTAATGAGTACTTAGTGACCAAATTTTCATTGGTAGGCTGTGTCGAACAAGTATGACACCGTGTGGAGGGTTGGGCAGTTCTCAGAGGTCCCAGGTCAGCTCATCCAAGACCAGGTGCTGGCTCTCAGGGCTGCGCACAGCGCTCTAATCCACACCAGCACACGTGATATGTGTGTTCTACACCAACCAAACTAAATATGAATTGTGGGGAGTCTACATTAAAAGGATCATTAAAAGGAGAGAGAGGAGATCAAGCAAAAACCAATCTATTCTGTTTCCTCACTAATATCCCAAACTGGGAAACTCACCTCTTTATCAGCCTTTATAAGGTAGTGGAGAAGCAGAAATAGAGGGTCCATGGGTGTGGCAAAGTGGAGAAGACCTCCTATAGATTAAAAAGAGAGCAAAGAGAATTCAATGTCTAGGAAAGATAACTTAGTTATTTCATCTTAATCCCAACGTGGAAACCTTCCACTGAAAAATATATGTGAAATTCCAAATTCAGAAACTCTTCTTACACAGGCCCAAGATTCTATGTGATTCTCTCAAAAGGCAGAATGTGGTCCATGAGATTTTACTCCAAAGAGCTTCCAATCCCTGTGTGGAGAGGAGAGCCAAGACACTGAAATCTATCTTTAACTTTCCATTTCTTCTTTATAAATCATTTTTAACAAAGCCCCCTCCCAAAAAAAAGCAGGGGTTGAGGGGAATATAGACAGAATGTGACCCAGGCAAACCTGTGTAAGTCTATCAATAAAGCTGCAGTAAAATGTAATTTCCTGTGCTTTTGAAGACAAAGCCATGGGAAAGCAGTATTATTCTCTCTGTACATAGCTCCTCCTATGGTCTGCAGGCTCACAGCTCTGAATTGCCAATGACTCAAAGCTCAGAAGGTCATTACCCACTCCAGACCCTACCCCAGCTCCCTACCCTAAAGAAAAAGACAAGAGGGCAGGAGGCTAACAAGTCTGAGCATAAGAAACTGAAAACTCTGCAGTAAGATTAATGGTGCTCTCCAGGATAGGAAAAAACGCAAATCAAACAACTAGCCTACCCAGTCCCCACTCTTTTTTCCTCTATCAACTCCCCTCCAGGCATCCCAGACTCCTTCTTCCGTGGAAGTGAATCAGAAGAGGTATTTCATCAAATGGAACAATAAACAATTCCTTTATCTCCATACTTAATATTTTGGTTTCAGGAAACTCATGTACTTACCTTTATTCTCTAACAGAGCAACCTACCTATACAGCCAAGAAATTCTAACCATAAATTACATATATGAATCCATTTCATAGTAAGAGACAAAAATTTAAGGAAGTAATTTCATATTATGATATTAGTTGATTATTTTTTAAAAAGTAGAATAGAAATTTATGAAAACAACCTGTCAGAAGCTCTAAGCTCATTTTATATGAGGCATCCATTATATTTAGAAATTAGGAACAGGTTTCTAGGTCTGAAAACAATATCTTGGTGGCCATTTTTAAAAACAGCTCTGTCTTCAAGGTTAAGTTTAAAAAGAAGACAATGATGAAAAAAGCAGGTACCTTTGCTATGAACCTAAAACTACTCTAAAAAATAAGGTCTATCAAAAAAAAAAAAAAAAGCAGATGCCAACTCAGATAGTCTGGAAGAGATGATCAATCACTGCCTCCCAAGGTTTTCCAGTTTCATCTGGATATTACTGTATCTATCCAGCGAAACCCAATTGCAAGTGTGTTACATTAGAAGTCGGAACTCTCATATATTGCCAAATGAACAAGCATAGCAGCAACAATAAAAGGGAACATACACTTTCCACCTGTCAGGCTATACACAAACTACCATTGCCTTTCAGCAACTGAAAATCACTTCAATTCTTCTCATGCACATAGGTATATGAAATTTATCACCAGCAATAAACACTTCTTCTGGAATGTCTTAGAAGAAAGGTAAAGTGGCCTTGTTACCTTAGCACAGTCAACAGAAAGTAGAGCTTAGAAGAAACAGAAAGCACTCTCTGGAAACAATGAGAGAATAGGTAGAGGGAAGGTAGAATGCCTCAACTATCCTATGACTCCCACCCAGAACCATCAGAACAACATGAGGTATCCTTTCCCCTTTTGAGTCAACACTGCCTCCAGAAAAAAGGAATATTTAAATAAAATGGAAGTTTGGGATTGGGAGGGTGTGTGTGTGTGTGTGTGTGTGTGTGTGTGTGTGTGTGTGTGCTGGGTGGATATTGGCAGTAGTAATTTATACAACACAGCAATAAAAAAATCTTTGTTCTATTCTCTTTTGGAAGCTATATCAGTATTCATTTTCAAGGAAATAAGATGTTAAAAACTTGAAAATCCTTAAATGTGGCTAACAGAAGAGCGAAGAGTTTCCAGTCAACACAATGTGCACTCCACGGTACAAAGGTCATCTAACTTCTAAGAATGTGTTGTGTTTTAGGAGACAAATCAGAGTTGTTAAAAATTTACTACCATCTAAGACATATAGGTATGGGATTGATCTAAATTTGCTCGAATTATCTTTCCTTTCTCCTTGATTAAATCCTGCTCTGATACCAAGGAAGAAAAAACCATGGACTAAACTCCAAACCAGGCAGACAGACCTGTCCGCCCATGCGTGAAGGATGGAAAAGTTAGAGTATGTGTTTAGTTAATGAAAATATATACACTAGTCACTTACCTGATTGAACTGACTGATTTATAAACCAAGAATGGTGTTTTTCCTTGAAAACTTTTATTTCAAACAGCTGCTGTAGACACATATTGAACAAGTAAATGGCTCCTTCCCCTGTTAAGACAAATCTGTTTTTTATTTGTAAGTTTTCTCACACATACAAAAAAATCAAGACTATCCAATAGTTCTGAGGAATGTTCCTAATATGAACATAAACATACATAGATATATTCTATACAAACTGACTCCAAGGAAAGCTTATAGCTATTATATACAGATGCTTGTTTTCCAGCTCCATAATCCTCACTGAACTTAAACCAATAAATAAAAAAGTGCAAATCATTTATCCTAACTGCTACAAAGCCTCTCACTAAATCTTCCATCAGATCAGGAGGGAAAACGTATTCTTAAACTACCTAAACCTAATGGTTCAGCCAGATGAACTGAGCTGGCATGTAGGTCCCTGTCCCCAGGGCAGAGTGTGGCTCCCCACACATGGGGCCCAAGATAGGAACTGAGCCTGCAGACCCTGAAGGCTGGCTCTAAGTGAGACAGGCAAGGGCCCTTCAATGCATGCCTTTTTTTTTCCTAAACATAGCGAAATCAATGACCCTGAGTTTGAATCTATTTCCACCACATGCTGGGCTTGTGCCCTTGGAGAAGTTACATAAACCTTTCTGTGCCTCTGTTTCCATATCTGTAAAATGGGAGCAAAACTGAACCTACCTCACAGGGTTTTTATAAAGATTAAAAAGACAGAATACATGTCAAGTTCCTATAACAGTACTTGGCATATATTAAGTGCTTGGCAAATATTAGCCTTTATTTTTCCACAGTCAATGTAGCAAACATAGACATTTGTTCCTCTGTTGTCTATGGACATTTAGATAAAACAGAAATTTTACAAGAAGGCTGACTTTTTTGGTACCTTTACTTTTGTTAAATGCTTTAAAACATTTACTGTTACCTAAAACTTCTCTTGAAAAAATATTTTTCACCTCAACTTAGTCTTATGCATAATTAGGAGTTCCAAATAATATATCTGACCAACTATACTCAATTTCATTTTGAAGGAAAGAAAACTGAAGGAAGCTAGGAATTTTTTTCTCTCTTGTTGCTTCTATTTATATGTCTTTCCAACAACAATAATAACAAAGCACTACTTATTGGCTTTCCCTTGCTTTTACTATTCAGTATTATAGTCACCAGGAGAATGCTCTAATTTGCTAAGTATCAGATGTCTACTCAAAACCTTATAAAATTAATAATAAACTTATAACATAAATTTTATAAAATAAATTAATGGAAAAACAATTCCATATAGAGATAAATAGTATCATCAATATTACTATATATTTATAGTATATTTTAATATTTTTGCCTAAAAATTAGAAGACAAAACAGAAAATACACTGAATTTAAAGTTAAAGTTATTTCTGATAAAATATGTATCTCTTCAATATACAATGATTTTAATACAAAAAAAACTACCCCTTGACAGGGAAAAAATGTAGTACTTTTTGGTCAGAACAAAATAAGGAAAGTACAGCTAAAAATGAAACTACTCAAAATCTTAGCATGTCAAGTAAAAGCTTTCTCTCTCTCTCTTTTTTTTTTACTCTGGTTGTTTATTTTACTTTATAACATAAAATGAATAAAAATGGAAGCTAATGTTGGATAACTACTCTAAGAAAAGTTGCCTTAAGAAAGTCAAAGAAAATTAGTCTGTTTTCAGAGAGAAATCAAACACGCCGCTTTTTTGTTTTGCCAGCATTTCTGATGAATGAACAGTTCTATGGATTAAAACTATAAGAAGAAATAAAAAATGTTTAGGTCGAGTGAATTATCTGAGAAGACTAGTCATGTCATTATCTTGCTTCTGTCACCCTGCAATGCCATCTTACCTTTAAAAGCTATTCAGGAAGAAGAAACATACGCAGGCAAATAAGTATATACCCTTTTCAGCCACAATGTTTAAAAAAACGTTCAAGTTACCATTATCGGAGGAGAGGGGAGGGGAGGTGAACCTACCTGAACATGGATTAACCAATTTTACAAACATAAGCCCACTTTTCATCTTCTTTGAAGCATCTTTTAAACATTCTGAAAAGAAATGATGAGTTTGTAAAATTAAAAGACATTTGCTTTGTTGCTCACCTTATTTACTTTACCCTGTTTTTCTTTATTCTGTTTATATGATTTTTCTTTCTAAAATTTTTAACTCAATTCTATTGCCTACAAGCTGTGTGGTCTTGCGCAAACTGTCAATTTCTCCATAAGGTGCAGTGGAATTTTAGGTAGTTTTAATTTATTTCTTTTAGTGATGAGGAGCAGGACTCTGAGTCAGATGGCCTGGGTTATATATAACCTTGGCTCAATCACCTGACAGCTTCGTCATCTTGGACAAGGTTCTTCACGTCCTGTCTCAGTTGTCACATTTATGAAATGATGCTGATAACATATATACTTGCCTTTCAAAGGATTAAATGAGCTAATCTGTTGAAAGTTCTTAATATATTCAGACAAACAGAAACACATAATAAATTATAGTTATTATTACTAGAATTATTATTTTTATTGTTACTATTTTTATGAAATAGAGCATTTTTTAAACAAATATTTACTAGTCATTTATATTTTTGGCCCCTAATTGAGGAATTTATATTTTGCCCCTAATTTATATTTTCTGCCCCTAAGTGTGATTACCTAATCACATCCTCTGCCCATTTTTCTAGTGTGGTATTCATCTTTCTTTTACTGCTTTACGAGGAGTCTTTATACAGTAAGGATATCAACTCTGTTTTTAATGATTTTTTTTTTGGTCATACTGAAGACATAAAATCTTTGTGTAATCATATCAATATTTTCCATTATGGTTGTACCCTTTGTTTCATCTTAGAAAGGCCTTCTCTTCCTCAAGATTCTGTGAATTGCCTATGTTTTCTCCTAATACCTTTATATTGTATCTTTAACCTATCTGGAATATATCTGGGTATAAAATATGGGGAGGAGATCCAACTTTAATTTTTTTTTCAATGGGTTGTCCAGTTGTACCAACACCATCTACTGAATAACCCATCATTGAAATAATTCCCTTATGCTAAATGTTTAAAATACATTTATAAGTCTGTCTATGGACATCCTATTTTGGTCCATTAATCTGTGTCTATATTAGCACTAGTACTTCACTATTTTAATTATTATAGCTTTAAAGTACATTTTAATAACTAGTGATGTAAGTTCCCTCATTATGTTTCCTCTACAATATTTCACTGACAAAGTTTTAATCATATAGATCAAAACATAAAGACTACAACAATTTTATTTATAACATCTTCCACACATTTTGAGTGGCACATTCATAGAACTCATTTAAAGACTCTCTCCAAAAGGAACAAACGGGGTCTGACTAAGAAATGAACAGAGCAACAACCTACCAAACAGCAAATCAGAAAACTTCAGGAAAAAGAAGGGAACTTTTCACTTTTATTTTCTATAGCCCCCTGCTCCCTTCACTCCACTTCAGATCTTCATAAACTTAAATGAAGCAAACATGTTTAGAAATTGGCTTACTCATAAAAGGTTAAAATACAATTTTCTTCTTAAAATAATAGTGACATTAAATATATAAAGAAAAAAATCCTAATTTAGAGGTTTCTACTTGCGACCAAAGGGAGTAATGGGAAGCTAATTTACCCTCCCACCTGAAACAATAAAAAAAAAAAGACAAAATATGTGAGACAACTATTCTCAAGACACTGGACATTGAGCCATGGAGGACAGTGATCCCTGAGAGAGAAGGAACAGCTGTGGTGAGCCCTATGAACACCCCAGCTTACTGCCTCGAGAGAGTTTCCAGGTCGCAGTGCAGAACCAAGAACCCAGGTGAAGCCTGGCAGACTCGCTGAACTGAAGAGATGGAGCTGAGAGTTCTGGAGACACCATGGCTAGCGTTCACAGGTCAGCATACAGGAAAGGAGAGAGCTAGAAAGAAAGAAAACCCCAGGGATCTACAAAGTATAACTTGAATATTCAACAGAGTGCTGATCAGTGCATGCATATGATGACCTTACCTGAGGGCTAGGAGAAAAACCCTCTGAACAGATTAGAGGGAACAGTAGCTCACATTCACTCAGGGCCCTGAACTGGGCCTGTTCCCAGACAGACTGGAAAACCTCATAATTCAGACAGCACTGGGTAGCATACTCAAAAGGGTCTTGCCCGAGTAGCAGGGAATAAATAACCGTAGACTAAATGCTGCACTGGTTCCACTAAACTAATTTTAAAAGCAAGGCCTAAAAGGTTCATACTGTTTCCGAGTACCTTCACTGTGTCCTAGAACGAAGCTCAAGATTATTTACAGGAATACAGAAATATTCATCAGCCAAAAATGTAAATGTCTGGCATCTAATCAAATATTACTAGGCATTCAAAGAAGCAGAAAAATATGGCCCACAATGAAAAAAAAAAAGAAATCAATTATTGAGAGAAGGGTATTGATACTAGACACAGATGTCAGAATGAACAGACAACAGCATTAAAAACAGTATTCCTCATGCACAAAAAACTAAGTAGAGACATAGAAGATTTTTTAAAAAGATCCAAATTGAGATGAAAAATAGACCAGATAGGATTAATGGCAGAAGAAAAGATTAATGAACTTGAAGACATAGCAACAGAAACTATCTAAAATGAAAACACAGAGAAAAAGAATTAGAAGTAAAAAAAGAGTATCAGTAACCTGTGGGGCAACTTCAAGCAACCTAATAATATATGTGTAACTGGAGTGCCAGAAAGAGGACAGGGGGCACAGAAAAAATATTTGAAGAAAGTATGGCTGAATATTTTCAAATTTGATGAAAAAGATAAACCCACACATCCAAGAAGTTCAATAAACCCAAAGCACAAGACATAGGAAAAAACTAAACAACAGAATCAGTAGTTCAAAACCAGTAATAAAGAGAAAATCTTAAAAGCAGACTGAGAAAAAAGGACACATTATATACAGAGGAACAAAGCTAAAAATGACAGCAAATTTCTTGTCGGAAACAACACAAGGCAGAAAACAATGGAGAAACATCATTAAAGTACTAAAAGAAAACATGATAAACTCAGAGAAAATACCCTTGAAAAAATGAAAGTGATACATAGACTTTCTCAGACATACAAGAGCTGAAATAAATAATTGCCAACAGATACACACTACAAGGAATGCTAAAGGAAGTATTCCTTTTTGGCAGAAGAAATATGATAACCAGATGAAAATATAAATCTAAACAAAGCAATGAGGAACACTGGTAATGGTAACTGCAGGGGTAAATAAATAAGAATTTTTCTTATTATTTAAATCTCTTTAAAGATCATTGACTAAACAAAAGTAACAGTTTAGTGCAGGGTTTATAACGTATGTATAAATAAAATGTATGACAACAATACATAAAGGCGAGGAGGCGAGGCATGAAAGCATACTACTGTCAAGTCCTTATGCTCCATGAGAAGTGGTGTAACATCATGTGAAGGTAGATGTTTTCAACATATCTATACAATAAAACCTAAAGTAGCCAGGAAAATTTCAAAACAAAAAATGCTGTCACTAATAAGACAACAAAGGAGATGAAATAGAATCATAAAAAATACTCAGTCCAAAGGAAGGCAGAAAGGGCATAAAAGAAGTACAAAGAACAGGTGAGACAAACAGAAAACAAACAGCAAGATGGCAGACTCAAACCTAACCCTACCAATAATCAGACTCCACATAAATGGTCTGTACACTCCAGTCAAAAGGCAGAAATTGTCAGACTGGATAAAGAAGTGAGATAAAACTGTATGTTCCTATAAGAAACACACTTTGAATACAAAGACACAAGTAGCTTAAAAGTAAAAGGAAGGAAGAAGATATATCATGCTTATGCTAACACTAATTAATAGAAAGATGAAATGGCTCTGTTAATAACAAAGAATATTACTAGCAATAAAGAAGCTCATTTCATAATGATGGAAGGATAGAGAGGAAATAATCCTAAATGTTTACGCTCACAAACACAGAGCTTCAAGATGCACAAAGTAAAAAGTGATAGAACCTTCTGCCCCATCTCTAACCCCTGGCAACCACTGATCTGTTCTCCATCTCTATAATTTTGTCATTTTGAGAATGTTGTATAAATGGAACCATACAGATTCAATTTTGAGAATCTTTTAAAAGACTTTCCTTTCTGCAACTTATAAAATTGTAAAGGATAAAGTTTAGCACTGTTAAAAACTTTTCCACAAAACTAAAACAGGTTGTGGCTTTCTCTCCTTTCCCCCTGCTGTTTCTCACTTTTCCAGCATCACATATCTTCATTATGTCTCAAGGCAGAGAGAAGGTGACCTCTCTCTTTTTCAGCAAGACACCCTTTATTTTCTTTCAGTACTACAGTAAATCTTTCACCTTTAACTTGGCAAATTATTATCGATTTCTTGTTTCCTTTTTTCAATAGAAAATTCTGGTTCTAGCGATCCTTGCCAGTTCTTCTTCAGCTTTCCCATTCCTTCAGAGCTTAAAATAATTAAAGTTTACAAATACCAAAAGTCTTAAAAATATATTTTTAATAACTATACAAGGGAAGCAGTGTTTCCATTTTTCCCAGGAAGAGTAGTTAAGTCCAGAGGATTAGCTATAGCCTAAAATGTCAAACTATAAGAACATTGGAATTACTGAGTACAAATAAATACTGACATTAATGTGTTCTGCTGCAAATGCCAGTGTTCTCTGAAATACGCTTTGAAATATATTAGTGTAGATAATGCTGAAATGTCTATTCAGTAGGGGAAAAAAGTCATCTTTTCTCACATTGCGTCGAGAAACAACTTGCTGTTGGACTGAATCTTTCCACACAGAATTCCAAGTGAAATGCTATACTCAAATTGTTTTGTCTCTCTTTAACTACGGAATGCATTTCAAAATTAGCCTCTCCTGCCCACTTCATTCATTCATTTATCTACTACTGATTAACAAAAATAGACCCAGCCCCTACCGACTGGGAGCTTATGGACGTTGCATGGAAGAGACAGATATTAAATCGAACAGTCACACACACAAAGATAGACTGCAAATGTGACAA